AAATAGTTTGATGATAGAAGAATAGGAAGAATTGAAATTTTTAAATATAAATTTTTAATTTCTTTTTTTGTGGATTTCCACGTTGTGGAAATATTAGAATTAACTTTATCTTTATATCATTTTTTTCTCAAGTTCTTTGTGAAACGCATAACATAATTATAAGAATATTTTTATTAGTTTTTCGCTGGTTAGAATTTGGATTATATTTTCGAGGAATTTAAACACCCCTTTGCCATATCTTTCTTTCCATCGTTGGAGAACTTTAGAATTTTAGTTCGAAAATTGGATAGTTTGATGATACTAGAAAAATAGGAAGAATTGGAATTTTTAAATGTTTGCAATTTTTTTTTGTAGTAGAATTAACTTTATCTTTATATCATTTTCTTCTCAAGTTCTTTGTGAAACGCATAATATAATTGTAAGAATATTTTTATTAGTTTTAGCTGGTTAGAATTTGGATTATACTTTCGAGGAATTTAAACACCCCTTTGCCACGTCTTTCTTTCCATCATTGGAGAACGATTGACAATTGGTAAATAAAAGATGTTCGTTATTCGAAAAATTAAAATTAATAATTGGATAGCTTAATAAAGAATATGATTTGAGAAAAATTGGAATTTTTAAACGTTTGTAATTTCTTTTTTTGTAGATTCGTTATGGAAATATTACAATTAATTTATCTTTGTATCTTCTCAAGTTGTTTGTGAAATAACTATAAAAATAATTGATAATACGGAATTGATAATACGGAAAAATAGGAAGAATTAGAATTTTTAAATGTTTGCAATTTTTTTTTGTAGTAGAATTAACTTTATCTTTATATCATTTTCTCCTCAAGTTCTTTGTAAAATACATAACATAATTATAAGAATATTTTTATAATTTCCGCGTTAAAATCTGGATTACACTATGGTCTCTCAAGGAATTTAAACATCCCTTTGCCACGTCTTTCTTTCCATCCGTTGGAGAACATTCATAAATAAAGGATGTTGGAAAATTGGAAAATTAGTTTTATAATACTGGAAGAATCGAAATTTTTAAATCTTTGCAATTTTTTATCACGAAGATAGATATGGATTCGAAATTGAAAATATTAGAATCAACAATCCTTTTGCAATTTCTTTCAAGTTCTTTGTTGAAATAACGTAATAAGGATAATCCACAATGATAAAATATACAAATTGTCGATAAAATTTTGGAATCATATGATCATCGATATCGATATTTTTGTTATTACTTGTTCAGCCCAGATCCGATCTGGAAGATCTGGAAAGATAGTATACGACTTTACGCGCAGACAGATACGCAGACGGCTGATGATTTGTGGCTGTTTGGAGAATCGATAGGTCGGGGTATAGATCATACGAGGGAGATTTAATCGATCGGGATAAAGGCTGGTCTATAATTAGGAACGAGAATGGCGAGTGTAATAAAATAGTCTGCTGAAACAGGTTGGCCTGTCGACCTTGAGATAGTCGACCTGCTCGCCATGATCATCACGAGAACAACAGTGCGTTTGAATTGTGGCTTTTAGATGGCTTATTGTTGATATATATCGATATACAATTTTCTCTATGCGAAATAAATTACGTAATAAAGTTTATATAATTTTTTCCCAAATTTTTAATCACTTCTAATCTAAAATTCTAATCTAACGATAATCAACAATTGAATTCCCCTATATAAATTTTCTTCCTCTTCTATATTCTCTTTTTTCCTTTTTCTCTAGAATTATTAAACTCTTAAACAAAAATTAACCGATCGACGAAGTGGAACAAAAAAGGGGCAAGTTATCCAATTACTGGAGAAATTCCTCTCGAAGCTCACCTCTCGAATTATTTACGAATTTATCTGCCATCTGACACAATGGTGGTTACTAGTAGCACGAGTAGAGCGTCGAAACAGGAGGACCGTCGGCCCGTTGTTAATTGCCATAATGAAGATTATTCGCGGCGCGGTTCGCGTAAAAGGGTGCGCCGTTGTCTCGGTAAAATGGCCGCGTGACCGTGCAGAAATTCGTTACAATAACCCCTCCCATCTTTTGATTTACAAATATTTTGCCGAGTTGCGAGAATTAGCGATACACAAATGTCGAATGGAATTTTTTTTAAAATTGATGTTGATCTCCTCTCGAGATATTATAAAGGGGGAAAGAAAAAGAGAGAATTTTGCAGTCTTTTTTTCTATTTTTTTTTTTTTTTTTTTTTTTTTTTAATTAAAGAAGCGTGTAATAAAAGTTAAAATCCGAACGGAATAATGTATGCATACGGTCGATGTGACAAAGATTACATACACACACACATGCACACATACATGCACACAACGAGTAATTAAATATTCTAGAATAATAAACATCGATTCTAAGAATATAAATTAGATACACGTATTGAGAATAATACGTGTCGTGTAGAAAATAAAAAAAAGTCGTTCATGACTTTACAATGAAGAATTATAAACAAGAGTCGTGTAATCGTTAGAATTAAGGAAACATCGCAATTGTGAGAGAATTATATAAACATATTTTTATTCATTTAATTACGTATATGCATAATTGATTCGCTCGATCCGTTCAATTTATATTCCTTTATTCAAATTTCAATTTTTGAATCATAGTAAAAACGAAGCATAAATGACATTTCATACCGTTGAAACTTTATTTCTCTGTAATATATATCAATTCTGATTGGCTAGTGATTTTATCAATTAAAAAGAAAAAGGGAAATTAGAATTCCTTCCTCGTCTTAAATAATTTGAATAATATATTATTTTTCTTTTTTAGATTATATATGTACGTATATTTTTTTAACAATAATTTAAACAAACGTAATTTTTTTTGACGAGAAATCGTTCGACAATAACGATATGTAAACGTTCACATACATGTATATATTCATAGACTATTAAATTATCAGAGTTTCCAAAAATTACTTGTTTATATAGCAACCAAGCGCGATAATTGTCATATCAGTGGTAAAGAATGTTTTTATCGCATCTGTTTATTTCATGGTATATGACGATACTTTTCAAGATACCAACAAAAGTAAGAAAACACTTTTAACAATATATTATCCAATGTTAAAAATGGCTGCATTGATAAATTTAATCTGTCCACTATCCAATGAGATTTATTTAAAAAAAATATACGTTCAAAACAATTATAGAATATTTGGATTAAAAATATATCGAAGTAGTATGAAATTCTTTACAGATTTTAAGAAAACAGAAATAATCGTTCAAGAATTGTTTAGATTCTCTTAGATATGATATTCAGAATATGTTATTCAGAAATTATTAAGTGAAAATTTGATATCTATAGAAGACGATCGAGGCTTGATTCGATTATAATACATACACGTGTCCAAGACCTCGTGTCACAGATCACGTTAGTCATTCGCTATAATAAAATATACTGTGACGAGAGGGAGCAATTTACATATTGTTCGGTCAACAAACAACGTCTCGAAGCCAAAGAGAAATGTATTATCCTCATTGTTCGGTTACTCGCGTTTGAAATTCGCGCGCAATGCGTTCAGTAAAAATGGCGACGCCTGTATATCGTACATATTTTCAATCCATACGTAGAAATTTAGAATATTCAGGATTTGAATCGTGCTAGAAATAAAAAGTAGATTTACAAATACGTAATTTCATTCAAAATATATTATTATTAATAAAAACAATGGATGAGAAATAATATCCATTGCGATAATCATAAAATTAGTTAAAATTAGTAAAAAAAAAATTGTTATTATTAATTTCTAATTAATTAAATTATTAAATAAATAATATAATTATTAATATAATTAATAATAATAAATAATAATTATTAAATAAAATTAATAAAAGAAAATTGTTATTATTAATTTCTAATTTATAAGATCGATAAGAATATTTATTTATTTGAGAAATGATAGTTGTTTCGTTATCATAAGGGTGAAGGAGGGGAGGAAAGCTCGAAGTTGAACTAGATTAACACGACTCGATTGTCGGGGTCAAGGGTCAATCGAAACCCGTACAGGACAACGCTCGTGCCTTATACTTCTCTCTCGATCCTTTATCCGTGTCCGGATGCGGATGAGATATTGAAGAACGGTAGCCATTTTGTATCATTGACCTAGCAACGAGCGAGGACAGGACAATAGTCGTCGCCACTTGTCCACCGCTTTTTTGCTAAAAATCAAATTCCAGCCCGCCTGTGGCGAAGCCTCTTGTTTGCCTCTGCACCTTTTTTTTTTTTTTGCTTTTCTCTCTTCTTTCTTTTTCTCTCGACGAGAACCACCTCGAGTCGATCCGATCCACGCTCGATTGTGGATCCATACCTTTAACCAGACCAAATCACATTCGCTGCACAGATCAACATGAGATTTATTTTTCTAATGCGAATAAGTTGAAAAATTGTTCGATTTTCGTAAAATACTTAAAATACTTCTTTAATCGAATAAGAATATTTTTTTTAAATTCTCGAATTTCTATCGTTCAAAGTTGTTTCACTAAGAAAAGGAAAAGCAATCGAATTATACAATCGTATTATCAAGTATATATTTCTGAGGAAGAAAGAGCTGTTAAATTTACAGACTTAATAAACAAACTATACATATTAATATAACTATAAATTGTTATATAATATAATTATATAAATGTTAATAATATCACCTATACAATGTTAATATAATCATGACACACATTTTAGTAAGATGATCTAAAGATGGCTCTACATTTATTTATTAAATTAAATTATTAAAACACAAAGCTGAATTATAACACAAAGCTTTCTCAAAATCCATAAACCCATATTTCTGTACATCAACTTTTCTATTTTCAATGTTCAATATCAATATACAATAATAACCAAATACAATTCAAAATTATCAATATACAATCCAGATTAAAAAAATAACAACCCATACTCCTCCTATATCCTTCGTAACGATCGAAAATAAAGAAATGATCGACAGTCGAAATAAATAAATAACAATAAATTTCTCGATCACTGTTTACAGGTGTCCGCGGGTCAGCACATGCAGCTAACAGGCGACCTGAAGCCGGGGGTGTCGGTGGCGGCCCAGCAAGGCATGTACTTCAGCCAGCAGCAAACGCAAAATCAATCGGCCGGTCAAACGGACACCTACTGCTCGGTGTCGCAGTCCCAGACCATCAACTTCACTCAGCAGAGCCTGAGACAGAGGGCCGCGGCCGCCGCGGCGGGCGGCGTCCCCCAACCTGCCGGCGCTGCGCCGGCACGCACCCATCCCCAGCAAGTGCAGCCGAATCAGGTGGATCAACATCAGCACGCGAAAATTCTTCAACAGCAGCAGCTGATGCGCGCCCAACAGGTACGTAGCTGTGCGCACATGCGTGTGTGTGTGTGTGTGTATTGTTGCCTCCCTCCTTTCTCTCTCTCTCTCTCTCTCTCTCTCTCTCTCTCTCTCTCTCTCTCTCTCTCTGTCTCTGTCTCTCTCTTCGATCGATCGAAGGATTTCCGAGGATAATAGCGCGATGGCGATAACCTCGGAGGGTGTGAAACCTCGTATAGGTGGTTTATGGTTTAATTATCTAATGGCAACTCGCGATGTTTATCTATGGTAATAGAAACGGTGTTACCTAGGTGATGGTAGGCTGGGGGGGATAAGTTAATTCGACGGGTAGGTTTTCAGTTTGATTTAAATGCTGATCTAAGGGAGAATTTTAATTTTGAGAATCGGTGACGTAATTTTTTGAAAGATTGAAGAGAAAGACGAGGAACGCGTTTGGTAAATAAATATTGTGAAATTCGTGTAAACCTGCGTAACGCGTTTCGACGACGAGACGTCTTATTATACGAGTAACGTATATAACGAGTCTCTCGTGAAACGTGAAATCTCGAAATTAGAATTAAAATATAAATGCAAATGAGATGTAAATCGAGACGTGAGCGTATAAATACAAATCGATAAAAATTCTCTTCACACTCTCTCTGTCTTCGATATCTTGGAAACTTTTTTCTAAATACAACGGAAGCCGTGACGTGGCGCGTTATTCGAAACATTAAGTTCGAAGCATCCGCTGGATGGCGTTCGACGCAACAGGTACCGCCAGGTCTCTCCTTCGCAACCAACTCCTCTCTATTCTCCAACTCTCTTGTTGAAAGAAACGGCGCAAATAGGACAACCGTCTTGGAAGCCACGGAACAATGAATAGAAACTTTTTCCGTAACCGGGAAATCTGCGTTCACGCGCACTTCCTGGAGAAAACGTAGTAGTAATGCCCGGTGTTATCGTGACCAAACGAGATCTCTTGGCTTTCTTATGGATGTTTACGGATGCGGTTTGCCTTGCTCGAGGGAGCCCGATCGAAGTAAAATTGTTGCGGTTTCTTATTCATTGTTTTCGTTTTCGTTTTATTCGCGCCCCACAGCGGCTCTCGTACGCCTTTCTTTTGACAATACGTGTTTCAATTCGAGATATAACATCTCTCTATATCGTCGTATTAGTAAAAGCTTCTCCTTTATAATTTTATTTATCTTTTTTTTTTTTTTTNNTTTTTTTTTTTTCTTTTTTGGAAATATTCTTCGATTCGATTTTTATCCCCCTTGATAAAAAAGGAAATCGCGTGTCGATTCCTCTTCTCTTAGAGAGAGAGGGAGAGACTTGCTTATTTAGTCAATCTAAGTCTTTCTTGAATAAAATATTAGAAAAAAATATAAAAAATAGGTTGTTGTAAAAATTATATTAATATTTGTAAATGGATATTCAATTAATTGTTTTCCTAATCATGTTAATATAATAAAATTATTAAAAAAAAATCAATAATAAATTTTATTTAATAGATTAAATTTATTATTTATTAAATTATTTTTATAAAGAATAGTGATATATAAAATTAAGATTGATATTACTAATCCAATTACTCCTCCTAATTTATTTGGGATTGCTCGTAAAATTGAATATGCAAATAAAAAATATCATTCAGGTTTAATGTGAGTTGGAGTATTTATAGGATTTGCAATTTTAAAGTTATCTGGATCACCTAAATAGTATGGATATTGAAGATTAATTAATATAAAAATTAATAAAATTAGATAAAATCCTAATAAATCTAAGTATAAATGAAGTATAAAAATGGATGGCAAAGAAGAAATGACGATCGTCGTAAAGATACATACGTCGTAATAATGAGTTCTTCGGGTATAATAAATGCACACGTTATTACCTTACGCCTTATTAGAGGATTTAAATTACAAGTAAACGCGTTAGTTTAACATGATTTCGAGCCGTTAAGCTGTTTACAATTTGCAATTTTTATCCGTAAAGTTATTGCTCTTTTGTGTGACAAAGGGGAAACAAAGAAAGGAGGAATGGAAGAAAAAGAAGTGAAGGGAGAAACTGTGCTCGCCTGTATCGGGTCGTCTGTTCTAGTTACACGTATGGGTACAATATAACGTCGGCAAGTTTGCAATCAGACAACATTTGCATGCAGTCATTTACATCTTGTCCGGCACCGTGTTCTTCATCTTTTATGCATTTCCAATTTGCATCCGAAGAAACTGTGTCCACGAGCTCAATTACTGTCACTGAATCGTCGTCTTCTTCTTCTTCTTCTTATTCTTCCACCACGAATTATCCTTGCTTGAACGCTCGCTCCCTATTGAAAAATCGCTAAAACATTGAATATAAAATTACACGACGAGCCATCGTGTTGTCACGACACCTGTCCACCTTTTTCTCACCTGTCGATCCCAGGATTTTTAACACACATAGTTCCAGAACTCAATGAGATCCCATCTGTCCTTTAAGATTAAGGTATATTAAATTTACGAATTTTCTTTTCACCGATACATTTAAATTTTCGTAATATCGTACGAATACGTTCTTTTCTTTTTTACAATTTTATTCTCGTCTTAAATTCACTTTCACCATAATTCAAATTTTCTTGAAAGATCAATTTCTAGATAGAAAGGATGATGGAAAAAAAGTAAGTTCCCTTTCGTGATATCAAAACTATCGTAAAGAGTAACATTAATTGTAAGAGTAAACATTAATTGAAAAGAATATTAACGGATCATTTATTCTATCATAGATAAAAGTATATAAATATTGATAATAAATCGATTCCCTCTTTCGAAATGAAATCGAGATTCAGAGAAATGATTTAATAACGATTTCTTAGTGCACGTTTTCCACTCGTGGACACGATTTATTAACGGATGACTCAGTTTGTAATAACGAGCAGTTTGCCTCGACGATGTTAAGATATCGAAGGCGGCTCTTCGATCGTGCTCCAATTACTAATTGCAGGTTTCACGCAATTGGTTAGTCATCCCTCGTCCCCTTCCCTCTCGAGGAAGAAAGCCTCGAAGAACGTATCCTCCTTCTCGCACGATCCGATAAAACAAACGGTTTGATAAGATAAACAACCGGATCGTTTGATCGTTTCGATCGAGGCTCGATTGAAATTGAGAGTTACGAAATGAAGAGAGAGAGAGAGAGAGAGAGAGAGAGAGAAAAAGAAAAGGAGTTTTTCGAGATTGCAGACGACGTTCGAGGGTCTACTTTCTATATAATCGAAGAGCAATCGTGTTTTTTAATTACCGTGAGAACGATGATGGTGTGGCATTTCGTTTCCTCGATCGATCCAATTTGAAAGATTTTGTCGTTTCGAGAGAGATTCTATGTTAAGTATCTTTGCATTCTTTAATTTTTTTTTTTTTAACGACAACTGCTTAATTCATTTACAAAAAGGATCTAAAAAGAGAATGTCAATAAAATATTGTGTAAAGTATTACAAAGTATTTGAAAGGAAAAGAAAAAGAAAACATTTTAAATTATTTTACAAGTTGTATAATGTCGATACTTCGACATAGGAGTCATAAAGGTTAATTAATAATTGTTAATGAATCGTGAATTTATTATGCGCCTAATATCGATTTTTAAAGATGTTCGTTTAAAGAGATCTCGATATCCAGTTCGAAACGAAATGTCATTTTTAATGGTTTTCAATTTTTGAAAAAAATATTGATTATTAAAGTGATTTAGTTTGAAATTAATTTATGAGAGAAGCATTTCACTTCCTTCTTTCGAAGGAGCGAATCGATCGGTAAACACGCGTGAAATTGTTACATGCTGATTTTAAGAACACTTCCTCCGTTCACCAGAAACCGTTTGTGAGAGCATGAGGGCGGTGCTCGGCTAATCGTAGGTTGTGCACGTCGAATAACGGAAAAATGCTTCTATCTGTCTGGAGAGAGTGCTCCATTTTTGCACATTTGTGTATCTGTGCATACTGTGGATAGAAAGTTTGGGAACGAAATAGTTTCGAAAGAAAACTATTAAACACATTGCAAAATGTATTTTTTTAAAGTAAAAATAACGACAAATGGAAAAAAATTTACGTTAATTAAATTATTTTCTACGTGAAAAAATAATCGAACAGTAATACCATTTAAAATTCATATACTTTGCATATACTTTCGATTCATCAGTATTATCAAAAAAAAAAAAAAAAAAAAAAAAANNNAAAAAAAAAAAAAAAAAAAAAAAGAAAGGAAACGAGAATTCAACGTAAAAATGGAACTTCACCTCGGAGGATTAACAATTAAGATAGAGTGTTCTCACTTCTGGCTCGCCATGTGTCAAAAGAAATGGAAAAATGCGGACAGAAAAGAGCATAAAGGGAGAAAGGCGAGGAGAAAATGTCGAGAAACATATACAGTGAATGTATATCTCGGTTGGTAACGAGGAAAATGCGCGGCCACACTGTCTCTGGTCGCCTTTCTGTCTTCATTGTCGTCGCTCGTGTACGCGAGAGCTTTCGTCGTCGGCGGCCACGGCGTAACACCAGGAAGTGGAAACGCAATCCACGAGGGCTTGTGCAACGACACCGATGCTAGGAACTTCCGTGCTAACCAGCCTCGACGACAATACGACTCGTAACGAGTCATCGATGCGTGCCGTGAGCGGACTCGCAATTATTCCCTCGTGGAATCTGTCGGCCAGCTTTCTAACTCGTATCGTTGTTCAAAGCCTCGTTGTTCAATCGTCGAATCGTCCAATTTCCATTTCGCTCGCTGATTCCAATATTTTGATGTTATACGTTCACAATCAGTGTCGATCATTGTGAAAATACTAATTGAGAATAATATTAAAGACTTACGATACGGTGTACGAATATCTTTTATAACTGTTATATGCAAGATATTCCAATTGAACATTAAAATTATTGTTTGAACGATTTCGTGGTATACTTAAGCTATAGGCATGGCGATCTTTCCTTTCTTTGCCGTCAGATGTCTCTAGTCACTTTCTCGCAAGTGAATTTTAATTTCTACGTGTACAAATTCGAATCGTATTTTTATTTATAGTAAAAATCTATAGTAATAAGAAATTCTTCTTGACATTAATTTTAGTCTTAATTAAAGAATAAAGGTATACTTAAAAAATGATAACTTCGTGATACGATAGTTAAAAGATTGGATTAAATTATTGGATATTATTGTTAACGAGATGTTTAATTTCTTACAATTTTTTGACTTTCATATGGAGAATAATTCCATTACTACTGTTTACGAAAATATGATGAGTAACCCTAAGGTTAGACGTTATTGTTATAATAATACAACAGAGGTACGCGTCGAGTTTCAAAGTCACAAGTATCCCGAAACACGTGATTTAATAATGTAATTGAAATCCATTGTTTGGTTGGTCTTTCAGGTGATGCAACAACAACAACACATGGCCGGAGGAATGGGTGGCGTGAGACCGCCACCACCCGAATACAAAGCGGCTCAGGCCCAAATGATGCACGCTGGTATCGGTATGGCTCAACAAGCTAGGTTTCCCAATACCGGGCCTATGCGCAGGGTTACGCAACAACCTATGCCACCTTCAGGTGAGTAGAAAATTGAAATTGAAATCGTTTCATCGTTTGCATCGATTAATAAAACTTTCTTAAAGAAACTCTAACTCTTAATTAAAAATCTAAATATAGGAAAACTATTCATATATTCGATTGTTAAATATTGAACAAATTATTGGATAAATATTAAAATAAAAGAAAAATATCCGCGTTAAATGATAAAAGGAGGAAAAAAAATAAATAAAAGAAATAACATAATAAAAAATGTTCATACGCGATCGAGGGAATAACTAATATGTTCGTACAAGTGGAAATCAACCGGCAAGATCCACTCTGTTAATTTTTTTACGCCGACACTAGTGACGGTTACGTCATTTTCATATGCACTGGAAGTCGGAAGGCACTTAGGGTAATGAGAATCTGGGCGCCTAGTATCGATTCTTTTCGTCGAAACGGCGAATGTTCTTTCGATGCGTGGATTTATTCAGCGGTAGATTTTCATTTACTTTCGAAATTTTATTGAAAAAAATAAAAAAAGAAGAAAAAAGAAAGAAAGAAAGAAAGATAAATGTGTGTGTACACATTTACCTTTCTATTTTATCTTTATTGCAAATTGCAATACCGAAAACTATAAAACTATTTTGAAATAAAATAACATAAATTACAAAAGTATGAAAATTACGATATATAATAAAATATATTTTAAAAATTTTAAACCGTGGAAAGAAAATTAAATTGTAATGAAAGTTTTTAGAATCGTGAAATTTAATTTAAAAATATTTGACGAAAAATATATATATATATATATATATATTTACGATGACATTTCTCAGTTGTGAGCTGAGGGCAAGTAGCAGCGATCGTCTATTAAAAAAAAAATATAAAGTGGAACAAAAATTCGCAATTTTTTTTCTTTCTCTCGAGAACCGATCAACCGAATTATTTCGATTACACGGAAGCAAACGGTGAATAATGGCGGAAAAATATTTAATTGGACGAAACGTCCATTCGAATAACGTTTACACTTAACTTCTTAACCATTAGATAAGTATCCGTGGAAAATGAATCTGATCTTTCTGCTCCAGGCTAAAAAGAACGAGATAGTGGTGAAGATGGGGGTGAAGAAAGGGGGATCGTAAATATTCTTATACGCGTACGAGGTTCCCTCTATCGATCGGCTCGAAGCTACTTTCATAAGATTCTATCCAAACGAAAATCCACAGAGCATTAAGGCTCCACGTTTCCATCGCAATACGTGTATCTTCGTTACGTATCTGGCTGAGCCAGAATGAAGAGACGTTTCTCTCCGGGATCGATCACTCTCCTCCTCTTCGATTCGATCGTGTGTTTCGATTCCCGTTAAACTTGCATAAAATTTTTCCATATAAATTAAATCTAACGAGAAAGATATTCTTCCTTTCCATTTGACGCTGACAATAAATACAGAATCGTTCGTATGGCATTTATTTCCATAATTTTTTTTTGAATTCCAATTCGAAAAACAGATAATAAATAATAAATAAATAAAACTGTAATAAGCAAAATGGAAATCAATGCTGTTTAACAATTTAATAAAATAAAATAAAGAAAGAAATTCTTCGTAAATTTTGAAATTATTAACAATATAATTTTTTTATCTTTTGTTTTCACCGTCAGGTCCGATGATGAGGCCGCAAATGGCGCAGCAACAACAACAGGCATTGCACGCTGCCGGTGGCAATATGTACATGGGCGGTGGTAGTATGGCCGCGATTGGCGGCATGCATCAAATGCATCAGCGTCTTGGATATCCTAGGACCAACAATCAACGGCCGCCTAACGTCAGCGTTGGCCCGCCCGATGGCCTTGGGAATAGCATCGCTGGCCGTGGCGCGCAGCAGGAGTGGCGACACGTTCTCATGCAGCAGCAGGGCTTTCAGGCGCAAATGCGATCGCAATTTAATCAGCAAGGTCACCAAGGTAAGCTTCTCCCCGGTAACGTAACTCGTAATATTCGTGCACTTCGCGCGAGGAATTCTAAGCAATTCTAAGCATTAATTAGTGGAAATCTTTTTTTTCGTTTAGTTAAAGTTGTTTGGTTAGTTATTAGATTTGTTCGAATGGTCTTCGATTATCTTTGATTTTAAGAATTAATTTCCACGGAAAATGGAATATTCAAAGGATCGTACGAGACGGATGTTATTTCCATTTTTAGTTGTTAATGTTACGACGAGGCATTGATGATATTGCGTAGAATGCGAGTTAAATTTTATGAAATTTATAGTTGTATCTTTTCTTAGAAAAGATATAATAGGAATGTGGTTAATTATGTGGTTTAAAAATTCAGACGTAAGAAACTTGTTTATGACAAATGGAAATTGAATTATTGTTTTTCTTTAACTAGTTATTATGAAATAAGCGTATAAATAATTGTGTTAAATCGTTTCACTTATCCTTATCTTCCAGGTGGATTCGGTATGGGTGGCACGGGTGGCATGCAGATGAACGCCGCACAAATGCAGCATCAACAGTTGATTCGCTCACAGAGTGGAGGTATCGCCGGCTCCGGTATGGCCAACAGCACTCAGATGCAGCAGCTACTGTCGCAGCAACACCAGCAGCAGACATTAGCCATGCAGCAGAGTAATAATCAGATGTCACTGCAGATGCAAATGTCGCAGTCCTCATCAGTCAACTCTGTCAGCAGTACTGGAACTGGTGAGTCTTGGACGATGATCATTCCCTGATTCTCATAAAGAGAAAAGTAATAATCGAGAGATAACGAGTTAAAGAAAAGTTATTTCAATTTAATTCGATCATCTGTTGATCGATCAACTAGATAATTTTATGAGTTAATATTAATATTAATAACATTGTTGATAGTATGAATGATAGTGATTTATTTAAATGATTTTATTTTAATTAAATAAATTTACCGCGAAAGATTGCAAAAATTTAGATAATGAATTATAAAATAGACACAAATAATAATTATAGTGTTAGTGATTTGTTAATGATTTTGTAATAATCAAGAAACATATACACAATAAAGTAATTAATCATTTTAATAATGTTTTTAGGAATCGAATTTCTATCGTTGAGATATATTTGATTTTAATCGTATTCTAATAATATATCGATATTTGCGTATAATATTTTATTACTGTTATTTCTATATTTAAATTTTTTAATATCGCTGATTCTAATCAAGTATGCATGTAACTGAATAAAAGCAGTCAATAAAATTCCTTGTCCCAATTAAAACATTGATAAATAATTAATATTTTATTATGTATATCTTAAATATAATAATTACTTACGATACTTATAATTATTACAATAGAATTTTACAATAATTACAATACATTAGTATATTTTTATAGTATATTTTTCCTATCAAAAATGCTTAATTATATCTATTATATATTATATATAGAAAACACCACTTCAATATGATACAAACATTTTAAACTATCTCTTTTATTATCATTTACATTCTCCATTTTTTTTATTAGAGTATAAAAGTATTACTCTTTTCTACTAATATATTATTATATTCACTCTCATTATACATATCACAAAATCCTTATGTTGTCATCAATCATGTTTGAACATAATTCCTTCCAGGTTCCCCTCTACACCCGCATCAACAATACGGCGCTGGCAGTCCAGGAGTGCGCAGTTTGCCACAACAGCAACAGCAGCATGCGCAACCGCCAGTCACTACTACCACGGATCCATCCGTAACCGCGGCGGACTTTAGCCTCGAATTTCTAGAGAATCTTCCGACCGGAGACACGTCGAACTTCAGCGCTCAGGAACTGCTGAATTCCCTTGACTCCACGGGGGGCTTCAACCTCGATATTCTGTAAGACCACGCCTATCGCGGTCTATTCGGAAAATCGGATTTTTATTCACTCAAAGACCGGTTTAAAACGTAAAAAAGAAAAAAAGAAAAAAAAAGTGAAAATGAAATAATAACGATAATTCGTTCACGCTTTAGGATCGATCACCCCTTTGAAAACAGATACAACGTCCATAAACAGACTCGCTTATCGTATCAGTGCAGCTATAATCTTCGTCGCGTGCTGTGCCGATGATTCGATTAACAGTTCCTCGAGATCGATGAATAACGATGGGACGTAATCGTCGCGTTGAAAGGAAGAAAAAAATAAATAATAGTAAAGGTTAGCCGATTCGTGGAATCTGATCGTGTCATTTCTTACTTTCTATAGTAAGAAAGGAATTATAAGAGCGCGGTGAATGGACTATAAATTAGTCGAAAGTAAAACAAATGAAGTGAAGGGGCAACGAGAATAAGATTATTGATTTCCGTGTTGTGACGAGCACTCGAACCGCGACGATCACGTTTCCCTGAAACGCGCGTCCTAACGATCCGTTCATCGATTGACTATAACTTCAAACGCACGGGGTGATTTGATCTAGTCGAATCGGAAAAAATGTCAATCTCGTGTATGATAAAGGTGTATATGATACTATACATATGTATACTAAATTTCTTCGGTTGTTCGGCTTATAGATGCTAAAGGATGAGCGAGTTTAAAAATTCGTCCGTCAGATGGCATCCGATTCGACGTCGCGTGCATGGAAACCGGTCATAGTGTATTTTCGGCAGCTAACCTTCCGGCTGGCGATTATTCTTCTAGGCAATCACTTTTAGTAAAATTTTATTTCTTAAATAATAACGCGAAGAAGCAACAGAGACAAGAGGTAAATAGAGCAAGATAAAACCAGTGGACGGTCGACAGCGTGGGAAATCAAGAGGGATCCGTAATATTCGTTTCGTTGCTCCGCGAACGTTTCATATTATAATAATATACAATAATACATAACACATTTAGTCGCCGTGTATTCGATCATTCGTATATTTTTATTTCGTTCCTCACCGTATTTTCTTTTAGTTAAAACGGTCGTTCCAGAATGAGGATCGATCGATCTTTCTCGAGTGCACGCGTCGACGACGCTACACGATGACTTCGACGCGCACTCCACGCGAAACGACCAATGATAAAATAAAATTTTTTTCTCTTGATTTTTCATGTAACGATTCGCGATTCGAGAATTATCAACAGTTAAACAGACAAAAGAAATCACTCTGTTAATCGTCTATTCATGATCGATCATTTTGTAATTTTTAGTTACACAATAACCAGTAATTAGTTCCATTCTTTGGATTAACGATTGAAAAGACTTTTGGCCGCTGGTTTTCTCGAGCAAATCAGCATTCGACCGTCGCTGAATTTCAATTTACGGTTAATTACATTATTACGGTAATGATAATTGCTAGAACTAGTAGCGTATTTAAACGAATGATACCGCGAATGATGTCGCGTATTCTACAATTAACAGAAAGTCAATTATGAGATATATTATTCGATTTCACGATGAATTCATCGTTGCCTGCGACGACGGGCTAATGTTTCGGTCCGATCGATCGGTCCACGTCTCGCAGGGTTCGCATCGCGTTTGATAATGAGAAGAAAAAGAGACGGAGCGAGTTAGAATGGAAGAGAAAGAGAGAATGAAGAAATCTTTCCTAAGAACGCAGTGTTAGTGTTGCTACAGAATAAATTACAATCTTGACTGTACATAAAACATATACAGCTACGTAAACGCAACATATACACATACACACATACACAGATACATGTAAGAGTTAGAAGAAAATACAGGACGATAAGTTCGCAAACTTTAGCCGATTAAAATATAAGAGCCCTACGATATAGGTGAATATATTATATATTACATATATTATATATGTATATATAATATATGAATATAAACAAATATAATGAGATAATAGTAATTGATGATGATGGTATGTGAGTTAAGAGCGAATGAGGGGGAGAGAAAGAAAGAAAAATAAAAAGTTAGAAAAAGATAGAAAGTTTGATGAAACGAAAGAAAGGTGAATATTAGTGAAATGAAAAAGTGAGACGAATGAATCGAAGAGGAAGAATGAGATGTCATGTGAATATAGTGTATATGTGTTCGCGCGGCGATAAAGCACATTTCCTCAATTCGAGCATATTTATTGAGTTTTAGTTCCACAGAATGTGCTGTGTCGCCGAATTCAAGTTGCACATGAAATAATCACGGTCAGCTACGACCACCACCGTTCTTGGTACGATGAACCGAATGCTCTCTTCGCGAATTTCCCGTTCCTTTTCGGCTCACGTCTCTGCATACGCGGAGAAGTTATTACAAGACAACATTAATATTTATTGTTCAATATAATTTTATTATTTTTAAGTCGGAATTCTTACGAAAAAATATCGAGAAAATAATTTATGAGATACATTGAGCTACAGTTCATCGTGATCAGATGGCGGGGATTCGTGACTAATCTTCCAAATAGTGATACATTCCATAGATAAAGGAAATTGAATAGAAGTTCACAGTTCGTCTAATCAAAACTATTGTTTCTAAAAAAAAAAAAGAGAGGTCGAAATAAGATAAAAACGAAATTAACGAGGAAACATCGAGATAAGATAGACGCGCGAGAATTCAAGAACACCGAGTGAAAAAATATAATGAACACACCCGGTAGAAACTAAAAAAAAAAAAAAAAATAGTAATGAAAGGAAAGTAAAAATAATGAAAAGTAAAATAATCCTCGACCGTTCGCCAAGAAATGCGCACGAATACCTTCCGATCGGAGTTTCGCTCGTTACTCATAGTTATACTCGACGCTCCAAAAGAGATCATATTTCCGATCTTGAGTGTACCATATGTCGAGTGTTCCACATGTCACGAAAATTAGCAACAAAAATAAAATATGAGTCGTTTTTTTAAAGTATGTAAAGTAAAGAAGTAAAAAAAAAAAAAAATATAAATAAAAATAAAAAAAAATAAATAAAAAAAATAAAAAAAATAAAAAAAGAAAGAAGAGAAATTCCTTAAATCGATCGGAATGATGTTATTATTGTCTTGTAAAATATTGGGGCCACGAAACATAATCTAAAGAATGAAAAAACGACATAAAAAAATAAAAAAAGGGAAGAAAGAATAATAATTTAAAAAAAGAGGGAATGAAGAAGACAGATGCTCTGATCGTATTACGTTGATTTAACAAGAACGTATAATGTAAATCGAGAGAATCAAGTACGGTGATGAGATGATGAGATATCAATCGCTACAGTGATTGTTCTGTTTTCTTTGTTTTTTTTTTTAAATTCTTAATAGAATTATAATATACATACATATGTTTACATATGTTTTTTTATGAACGAACGAAAGTGAAAGAGAAAAAGATTGCAAGAAAGGAAGTGTGAGCGAAATTAAGAAATTGAAATAAAATCAAGCACGAAAAACAGAAACGAGATAATTTGTTGTGAGAGAGAGAGAGAGAAAGAGAATGAGAGAATGAAAGAACGAGAGAGAATGAGAGTGAATGAGAGAGAGAAAAAGAGAGCATTAGGGACCAACCAAAAAGAGAGAAAAAAAATGGCGTGCAATGGTGTCGATTGTCGCGGTGGATCGTTTTTCTTTTTTATATGCACATTAAAACAAGAAAAAGAACAATGGAGAAAGTGAGACATCAGTGCCTCGACTTATTTCGCGACCGAATACCGAACTAATAATTTAACCTATATCATTCTTACGGGAACATCATGCGATATGTATAAAACATATCGTTTTCGATTTTCGCGAACACTCGATCTTCCATGTTTAAAAAAAAAAAAAAGAGAAATGGGTATAAAAATTGAAAAATAAATAACAATCATGCTGTTTATTTCTTGCACTGTCGATAGTTAATGATGGTTAAACGATATTCAGCCGAAAAAGATATAAAAAAAAAAAGGCTCTCGTGTAAATCACTTTATCGAGAAGTCTCGTGCTGGATAAATATATCTAATTATTTATAATATTTATAACTTTATATGATATACGGGCATTTCGCATAGAATAAATTTCATGTTGAATTTCGAACTGTTATTAATAAAAAGCGTTGAGTTCCTACAATGGTTTCTTTACTTCGCTTCTGGATAATTATTGTCTCATATCACAAATTGAAAGTTTCCAATTCGATTTTCCATTTTCCATACAATAAAAAACCAAAGAGAAATAAAGAGAAAAATTGATCGTGCAATTCAATGAAATTATGTTTTCATTCAAGTGAATGATAAACAACACATATAGAACACACTATAAACGTCGAATCGGCCACGTTGCTGTTTGTCGAATCTCGTAATTTCGCTAATTGTCGACTCGCATTAAACCCGCAACAAATCAGACTGTTCAATGCGTTTCAACGTCGATTATTTACACGACAAAACTAATCGAAACATAATTCCGCACAGAACAATTGCTAGAAAGGGATAGAGAATAGAGGACCAACCAGTCTCATTGATTTATCCATGATGGTATCTTCCATTCACTTTCAAATATTTTCTAATGTTTATACATTTCTCATATTAAACTATTTTCACAGCTATTCCTTTTAATTAAATTTAATTTTCGAAATGCATTTTTATCGATTCTTTTTGCAAAATCAAAGGCAAATAGATCTCTGTTTGAGAATGTTGGTGGCAATCGTGTAGAATTTACAGTAGCGCCCATCAATTAACACGGCGAAAAAGAGAAAGAAAAGCGAAAAGAGCGAACTCTAGGCGGTCAAATGATGGCGCATGCAAAGTGTATCCACATTGCTCGCGCGATAATCGTAATGAAACTTTGTTCGTTATCGATTCTTTCGAAACTGTTGTTGCTAAGCGGATTCGCGCTTTATGCTAATTTTTGTTCTTCATCGAATGTTTCTATTAATCGATACATAGTATTAGGCTTCATGCGAAGAAATCTCTTGATGTTTTCTCGTGAATCAACTAGTTAATGCGAAAATTTGTTACACAATCGCAGAAAGATAGCATCTGCGCTACGATGTTCCAACACTAGGTCGAACAGTGGTGGTCTAACGTATATAGTCGCGACGGACGCGCGCGCGGAAAGGGGAGGAGGATCAATATCATGGTTAGGGAGAGACCAGACTGAAAATAGGAGCGAGTGTAAAAGCAGCGATGAGGGATAAGGATTACAAGAAGAGAGGGAGAAGAAAAAAGGAGAGAAGCCAACCCGAAAATGTCAATTCGTCGGCCTTGATTCTTCGTGAAATTATAATTGTGACAAGGATGGCTCGTGGCCGATTTATATAGGCTCTTATTGTTTTACTGGAAAATTTTAGTGCGTAGAGCAAATGTTTATGATGATGAAGAAATATTTTTATGAATATTATTTTAAATTGAATTTTAGATTAAAAAAGGTCATAAATGTGAAAATTCACAATTTCTTTTTAAATCGTATTTTTTCATTGATCGATTTAAACTTTTCATAGAATTACGATTATATAGATCGCATTTATATATAATCTTGATTTTTCAATATTATTGAAATATTTTGTTAATTCGAAATTTTATAACTTATATGTTTTATATTTCTTTATATAATTTTCTTGATTTTTTATCTTATCATGTCAATTTATTATTATTAATTTAATTTAAAATTTTTAATTAATTTTGAATCTTATCAAAATTTGTTAACTAAAATTTTATAAAAAGAAATTTTTATAAAAAAAATTATCGTGCGTTATATAATGTTTAAAATGTTTGAATCAATTTAGAGTCCCATAATATTATTATCCCATTAGTATACAATGAAAATTATACATATTTTACGTAATCGTACGTAATCAAGATTATTTAATTAATGATTTTATTGTGTTAATATTAATTTTCTTGATTAAAGATCATGCATTTTGCATTATGATTAAAAAAAATCTCTTCTTTTATGCAATTTTAAATCGATCACTTTTCACCAACATTTTTTGTTAAAAATTAGTTGATAATATATTGTATAATAAATGATAAAAAAAAATTAAATCACTATAATCTCATCGTTATATTTTTCATGATAATAAGTTATATCAACTAGAAATAACTAAGAAATTTGAAATGAAATAATATTTCTTTTTTCTAGTTCAAAAATTTAATTGACAAAAGCACAATGACGATCCACCAGCGACCGACATCGACTAGGCATACAATATTCCACTATAAACACAACACCGAAAATGGCTCATGAAAATCCGTTATAAAACCATTAACTGACCTTTGCGATAGAAAAAGACAAATGACGTGTAATCATTTTTAATTAGAATCTATTCTTATTTTAAAATTACAATTTCTAGCTTCTACAAATTATTTAAACCTTAAATTATGTAGAAATTATAAATATATATTATATAAATTATATAATATAATTTATATAATTTATATAATATATAAATTTTATTTATATATTAATAATATAATAAAAAAAACATTAAATAATAAATATCTCTTGAATTATTTAAATAGTTAAAATAAACGAGAAATATAATTAATAAATTTTTATTTACAAGATAATATTTTGATTAATATTTATTAATAGAAATGTATTTTTAATAGAATAATAGAAACGTATTATGAACATAATTCACAAATATTTTTTTCCTAAAACAACGGATTTGAAATGTCAATCATCCTTCATCGTAAAGGTCAGCGAGATCTTTTCTAAGCTCTTATTCGACAAAGTATATACACACACATAAAATTTCATTCTCCTGCGTGAAACTAAAAAAAAAAAAAAAAAAAAAATGAAAAAAAATGAAAAAAAGAAAATAAAAATACGAAAAATTGGGCGATATATATTTCAAGGTTATATAAAACCAAACTCGTGGTTCTTGTATCCAGTTTATTTTATACTCGCTTGCCTTGTGTGTAGAGCGTCGACTAGATGATTTTCTACTGATCCTCTCTTTACAAGAATACGAAAAACAATCGTCGAGGTCGTCGCGAACATGAAATCAAAACCTCTTTTGAAACACCTTACTCATATAGCGTCATCTGAATTTCGTTTTTTCCAAGGCCGATCTGTTTAAAATCTATTTTTAAAAATTTTATTTTTTTTGATTTATATTTTGAGAAAAATCAATTTTTATCTATTATTTTGTAGTTTTTAAGAATTATATTGCAATTTATAAACAAATATTAATTTAATTATTAAAATCGTATTCTTTTCTTTAGTCTTACTCTTAGTCTTTCACGAATTTTCAATTCAAAGAGATGGCCTTTGGATAAAATGAAATAGATTCTACAATAGGAAGAAACGAGAAAAAGCAGAGTATAACTCAACGAGTTTGAAAATGTAATAATTATATGTATAGTATCTTTTTCTCGATGATTCTTCTCATTGTAATTAATTAACATTAATCAATAATTTTTATCGATACAATTAGTATTATTACATTAAAGTTCAGAACAACGCTTATGGGATCAGTATTTATAACAACATGAAGAGGTTTCGATAAATTAAATAAAAATAATATTCGACCAACACGATGACTACGACGACAATTCAGAATCACGGCGACAGAAGCATAGCAACGTATCGGTTTCTTTTTTCCTTCGTCGTATATTGTAAATAGCGTATAGTGTGTGTAAGCAGAGTACGGTTGGAAAGAAGTAGATAGAGACAAAGAGAAAGCGAGCGAAGCACGTGACTGTAATTTTTGCGGCTGACGGATAATCGGCGAACATCGCCGTGCCACGGAGTCTTGATGTTTTCTTCTTCGACCGAATTGCGGACGAGAGGGGATTGAGAATGCAAACGAAAGCCGTTTCTCTCCCTTCTCGGCGAGAAATCGCTTCGAACAGGTCATAGGATACGGTCTGTGGCGATACGTAATGGGCGTGCACAGTGACAATCTTGAAAAAATAAAAAAAAAATGAAATAATTAGATGTTCATACAATTCGAAAATTAGTTACATTGTTAAAGTTTTCCATCTTATAAATGATCGAATTGATATAAACAATAAGAAAAAAATATACAATTAAAAATAAATAATATCGATTTCAATTAAAATCGATCTTTCGAATTACGAAATTAAGGAACAAAAAGAAAAAAAACAAAGAAGAAACGTATGTGAACGGGATAAGCATGCTAGCGCCTTCATCGCAGATCCATCGACGCAGAATTAATACTCCCTTCATGCTATTGTTCTCAACGAGATTGTGATATATATATTGTTAACGCTATAACGATAATTAGAGCGCGTACATATAGAGGGCGCATTGTTCGTCGCGCGGACGTTTTAGTCAAAAAGGGGGCGCAGCAAGCAGTCATCCCGGAGACTCAAACGAAACGGATTTTTCGCGAGCTCGCCGATATGATTTTCGATGATCCGTGCCGTGAAACTTACGCCTCGCCGTTTCTTTCCGTTCGCGAATCCATGAAAGCAGATGGGGTCACCGAGAAAGACAAGATGAGCAAGCAATAAAATAATAGTGAAACAAAGGAAAGAGAGAAAAAAAAGAAATAAAAAGAAAGAGATAGAGATAGTGATAGAATGAGTGACATACGTTGATTGGATAGAGACGCGAGGGAAATAATGCCTGTAAATAAACGAACAAAACGGAAAAAAATGAAAGAAAGAAAACAATGTTGCGTTATAATTATTTATGTTCAAATCGAAGCGAATTCGAGAGTGAATTATTGTAATAATTCGTAATTTAACACGAAGTACGGAGGAAGGGAAATGAGAAATCATATACACAGATTATGTACATAAGCTAATGGGTAATATCTCCCTTGGTAAAGGATAGTTTATGAATAGTTTTTATTACAATTATTATTACTATAATTATTATTATTATTTCCAAGTAACTATTATTATTATTATTATTCTTAACATTATTATTATTGTCATTATTATTATTATTATTATTATTATTATTGCTATTGCTATTATTATTATTACTTATTATTATTGTCATTATTAATCTTGCAATGGCATACCAAGATTTTTTGTTATTTTAATAGAATACGCATTTTCTTTATTATATCGCAAAATTGTTGCAAATATAAATTTTATATAATTTTTTTTTATATTTATATAATTCAAAAATATATATTTAAAATTATATGAATGAATTTTCTTTATAATTTTTTGATATAGAGTGAAAGACTTGCTAAATTTGAAAGATCTTAATATCAATGAACTGAAAGAATAGTATGCCATTGGAGGCTTAATATTATAATTATCATTGTTATTCTTCGGCCAATGATCTCAAAAGAAAGATAATAATTGTGTTTGGATAAGAGTGTTACTAAATCTGAGCCGATTTCAATTTTTATCAAAGGCCACAATGAAAAAATTATTATCGTTTCATACATTCAACATAAATTTTACTTTTTCATCGTTTTCTCTTTTTCTATTTTCACTATTTCGTTTTTCCTTTTCTTCATATGTTCATTCCTTCCTTCTTTTTATTTTTATTTCTGGCCTATGTACTCTCTAAACATGTTTATGACGCACTCGAAACGAATTCTTCGTCTACAGTTGCGCTTTGTTTCCGGTTATAAATTCCGTTACATTTCTCATACGCGCGTATTCCAAAAAATGGCAAACGTGCGATTTTTATATTCTTTTCTTCGTTTCAATATGTTTTGAATCACTCAGACTTCTTCTGGCTTCAGGAACGTGTTAAATGAATGCATCAAAGAATGAACGTTCCTTTTTTTTATCGAGCCATGCATTCTTTCATTGCATAAGAAAGAACATGAACAAAATAAATAATCTATTATATCGATATAAATCCCGTTTACATAAAGTTTTTTATAAGTTTTTATCGGATAAACAAGAAACATGTTTATTTAAAAATTTGGAACTCCCATTTTTATTGTTTTTCCATCAATACACTTCCAAGATTCAAAAATGAATAATTACTTAATTTTCTCTCAATCCTATTAATGAATTCTTTGTGCGAGAATATTAAAAAAAGAAAAAAATAAATAAATAAATAGCGTTTTAATATAACGTAATTCGAAAGTGACCTATTGAATAAATTTAGTTAAAACTGATAGCGGTGCAACGCTGATCAAATTACTCATAAACATGTTTTATCGAATGAGAGTCAAGACATTTTGTCATGTCTTTGTATATTTTTATGCAATGTTGTAGAATGATATTGTTTCAAATATATTATACAGATAATAATAATAAACAAATTTATATGCCATAATCTCTATTTAATTTTCTTTCATTATATCCCACCATGAGTGTGTATATAATGGAACTTACAATTTAAGTTAATCAAAATATTCAAAAGGAATCTTGCAAAATATAGTTGAATTATAAATATATTTAGTATCGTTTTTCAAAGAATAATTTCTTCTATATATTTTTTTTAATATTTTGCAAATAAATAATAATTATCAAGTTTGAAATATATATGTATATATGGATATATATATATATTATAAAATATATATATAGCATGTAATATTGTTAAGATTTTTAATTAATAGATTAAACAAAGAAAACAGTAAAGTTAATTACATATCGAAATCAATTTTTAACATATTTTGCAAAACAAGTAAGAACAGAGAATAATGGAATAAAGACAAAAATTCAGGAATTAAGAAGAACATATAAAATAATAAGAGAAAAATAGAAATAAAATAAGAATTAACTATCAACTCCATCTTTTGAGTGATAAAAACAAAGATATTAAAAATATTTAAGATAGAAATAATCTTCAATTCTTCTGTTTTTAAAGAAATTTCTTTAAAAAATTAAGAGATGGCGATGATAGTTAATTCTTATCCTATTTTTATTCTTCTATTATTTGGTTTTCTTGTTTATATGTGTTTCATTTGTGATATTTTATTATAGAGAGGTATATATTTATTATATAGAGGTGGCGCTGATTTTTACCTTATCTTCTTCCACTATTTGTTCTACTTGTCTATAATTGGTCTTAGCATATAACATTAAAATTATAATATTAAAATTTATAATATTAAAATTTTTTCTGTACCTTATCTATATTTAAATTATATTTAAAATCGAACAAATTTTGACACGTCTTATCGATACGGCAGTTGAAACATAAATGTGACTTATCTTCATTTGGTAACCATAATTTATGGACAAAGTCAAGCGCGGAGAAAGTATCTACGCTATTTAGATTACAAACGAATATTTTAAAATATGAAATATTTAATATTATACCAATATTTTATTAATTATTAACATTTTTATTAATTTATATAATTTATTGATATAATATAGTAATTTATGATTTATAATTCTTTAAATTTCTCAACTTTCTATAATTTATTTTTATTAATTTTATTTTAATTAATAATTGATTTTTTCAAATTAAAATTAGATTTATAGTTCTAATATTAATTAATTTTTGTATTAAAATATTTTAAATGCCATTTTTATGAGAAAAATAATTGTAGAATACATATGAAATTGATTCATTACAATCTCATACTCATTAAAATCGATATATAATAATGATTCATGATATGAAATATTTATGATAAATTAAAAGTGCATTAATTAATTATTAAACATATTAAATTAAAAGTACGTAAAACATTCAATCATAAAATTTCATTTCAACATTTTATTTGTCACGAATCTCTCTTAAAAATTGTGCTAATTTAGGATTTACATTAATAGCCTTAAGTCTTCGTTCTAATGTTTCAAAATCCACTCTTTCAAGCCATGTAGGTGGATCGATTTCTTTTAAAGGAAGAGAACATAATAATCGTTCCACCGCGGCACATAAACCACACCAAGTTCTAAAATTTAAGGGTTCTTTAATTTCGCCAATTATAAGTTTCAAATATGTTTTTTGTTCTTGAGTTATAGGTTTCCCAATCATATCTTGAAGAGCTTCATGAACGTCATTTGGCAAAACATATTTATTATTCTGTATCATATCTTTTTGAAATTTGTTGAAAACTCTAGCAAAAATAAGTTTTCTTCCCAAGGAAACAAATACATGTTTGCTAAGATATTCCAAGATTGTTAATCCTAATTTTAAATATATTGTGAGAGATTTAGATTAAAAAAATTATTAATAATAATTTAAGATAAAAAAAAAAAATATTATGATTACTTACCACGTAAGCTTTCACTATCAAGAATTTCAAATCGAGCTGTTTGGCGCGAAAATGCTCGCGGTGTATCTACTAGTACAGGATTTGAAAATATTTGAGATTGTTTTGAATGTAAATATTTTTCACCTTTTACACGTAAAGCTTCCTCATATGCAATTTTTCTCTAAAATTATAAAATTCAAATATAATATAAATTAAAATATTAGAAAATTAAAATTTAGTTTAAGATCTCACTCGAATTGAAAATTCTGCTTCCACTTTATCGTTGTCTAATTCTCTGCATAAATGCTTTAAAATATCTGCATCAATAAAACTAGGAAGCATTGTAGAAAATTTATTATTTATTGGAGAAGTTTTCTTAGGAGAGCTTGTTATATTTTCCACATCATCATTATTTGTATGAATTCTATTATAAAAAAAAAATAGAAAAAAAGAATACATACAATTAAATTTCACAAATTATGTAAATAAAAAAGATACAATTTAAAATATAGTAAATTATTTTTACTAACGATGTTCTTCTAGATCCATCTCCTATATGTGAAATTTGAGTTTCTGTTGTTTCAAATAAGTCACGAACTTCTGTTTGTTGTCCATAGCCTGATCCTCTTCTATGCTTTCTTTTTCGTAATCGTTTTCCTCTTCTGCGTACAATTGTCATATCCTTATTTGATTTTTCTGTTTCTTCTTCTATCGCGTTTCTATTAGAATTCTAAAAGATTTTAAAATATGATTTCAGAATTATATAGCATGTAAATACGAAAATATTTATTATTATTAACCTATTTAATAAATTATAATTTCAAACAATAATTTTCAAAGTTATTAGTTAGAACAATAAATAGAATTTTTTTTAAGATGGTATATTATACAATGTAATTTCTTTTTCTTATATACAAATATTTAATATTAGTTTTTAAAAAATGATATTTTATATCATAAATGTTATACATATTTTTATATATCTTTAATAAAATTTTAAGAAATCATTTCAAAATTATATTTAAATGTTTATTAGTATATAATATTTTCTATATTATTCCACAAAATATTTGATTTTGAATTTTTTTATGCATATTATATTGATTTAATTATAAATACCGATTCATTAGAAGCATCTACATTTGGAATATCAATCGTCGAATCTGCATGAATCGAATTTTCTATCGCACGTCTTGAAGTCGGTTTAGATATAACAATCTCATTTTTTCGATGGGTTGGCGGTGGTTCTAAAGTCAATGCATGCCAACTAAATGTTTCATTTTCCTATAAGTAAATAAATTTTACTTTTTAAATATTAATAATATAATATATTATATAATTAATGATTAAAAAAAAATTAATAATTAAAAAAGCTTTAAATTTTGAATTCAACAGAATTAGCACAAATTACAAACCATCTGTTTTTGTGGATTCGTTCTAAGATCTAGAATCAACGTAGTTCGTTCTCTTAAATTGCAAGCCACCGGAAATTCTTCCTGAGTCGCTCTATTTGTCAAAGGAGGACCGCTAGCCAGTGTAGGTGCAGGAGTCAAAGGTCTCGAATCAGTCTCAGTATATTTTCGAAATAATTCCTCGGGAACAGTATTAGAATCATTAGTTACTTCAACTCCAGTATTTCCACTTACATCGGCATTATTGCCTACAGTTACTAAATTCGCTTTAATCATTTCCATTTCTTCTGGTAATAATAATGTTTTTCCTTCATTTGCCTAATATATAGAAGAAAAATTATTAAAAATATTTTTCATCTCATTATCTCTGTTTAGAACATTTCGATATATCTAATTTTTTAAAGATTTCTTGTTTGTCCAGGTGCAAGAATTAATTTTTTTTTTTTTTTTTTTTAATAGTACATTAAAAAAATAAGCTTTACCCATGAATCTTTAGCTCGTCTGAGAACTTCTCTTGCTTCACAATCTGCTGGATGATTACACAATATAGAACAGCCATAAGGATAAGGATTAAAGAGACCAGAAAAAGGACGAAGAATAAAAGGTGCTGGTTTAATAAAACCTGTAAGTTCCACATTCTATAACAAATAAAATATTCATAATTTGATTATTCATTTCTATACATAATACATAATCATAAAATACGATATGATTATAATGAAATTTTAATGTTATATTATAATTTAATTTTATAAATAGTAATTCAGTTTGCGAATTACTATATAATAATTCTATATTCTGTAAAATATTATATTATGAAAAATTATAATTGACTCATATCGTTATGTATACTTGCATTTATGCTGAATTATTTCATTATAATTAATTTGTTAATTTATTATCAATTTTTTTTAATAAATACCTTCGATTTAGGTCGATAAGTTGGTCGGATACGTGCTTCTAAAAGGCCTGTTGCACTTGCGATTCCTGGCATTATTTTATATTAGATTGTTACAATAACACAGTATCATAGGATTCTTTATCAAGGCGACAATAAATCAGTAGTTGATCACCTTGGAGGCCTGTTGCTAACGTGAGTTTGATGGATCGATTAATGAAGAAAATATTAGATTACTTTTTTTTTTATTTAATATTTCGTTATTATATAAGGAAGAAAAATTCAACAAAAAAATTTGAATGGTTTACGGTATATGTTCAAAAATTCTTAAAATTATTATTCCATTCGGTTTAATTTTATGGCAAATATTATATATGTAATTATTTAAAAATTTTTGTATTTGAATCTTAATTTACATTTTTTATTTTTTTAAAAATTTATTTTATTATTAATAGAAAAAAATTGATAAATTTTATTAATAAATAAAAATAAAATAAATAAAAAATTAAAGACTATATTATAAAAAAATATTCTCAGTATATTTTAATTTTTTTTTTATTATAATTTTTCTAATAATACAATTATATAATAATTTTTATTAATTAATCTAAAAAATAATATTTAAAAACATCTATTCAAACTTATAAACAATAATGAAACAATATGAAAATTTTTTATTATCAAATACTTATAATAAATTATTAAATAATATGAAATCAAATTGAAAAATATTTGTTAAATGTTATAATAATATTAGATAATTGTTTATTGTTGTTAAACAATTGTTTATTTATTTCTTGTATAGTCCAATTAATCTAAACCTTAAGCATATTATCTAAGAAAGGATTATCTTGATAATGTCCAGGATATTTTTTCTTATACTTTAATCCAGTTACAAGAGTAGAACTCTTCGGGAATGCTGTCTGACCATTGAACAATGTATCCGTATCTGAAATAATATTGTTTTAATTTATACAAAATTTTATATTTCAATAAAAAATAAATATAAAATATCATAAGAAATATAAATTCTCATTACATAATTATAAGAATTAAAAATTTTTTTGTTTTTTCTCTTTCTTTGTTTTTTAAATATACGTATTTACATTATTTAAATTAATTATTAAAAAATAATGAATTTTTGTATTAAGATTTTTAAGATTAAAAATTTTTTTATATTAAAATTTTATTCAGATTTAAAATTTTCTTTCATAATTTATATGCATAAATTTATAAAATGATGAAAAATATCTTACACAAATGAAAGTTGTATCGTTAAATGAATAAATCAATCATCACAAATAATTTAATTAAAAAATTATAAAAATTAGTTACCAGGATGAAATCGAATATATTCATAATTAATATGTAAATTCTTTGGTAAATCCATTGAACGCATAGCATCTAATGGAGTTACATTACCGATTGGGGTCTTATAGTAATTCTTCAAATCACCTAAAATATAATATAACAAATTGTAACTTAGTGAAAAAAAAATTTATTAATTACAATTTGATTATAATTTATACAATTAAAATTTTCTATATAAAACTTACCAATTGTTTCAATGTAACATAATACAGCATTCGTTATTGGATGTTGAAGTTCTTCTTCACATGCTAAAAAAAGATTGAAACGTTGTAATGGATCTTCGATTTTTGTTTCATCAACCGTTGAAATTTGTTGTGTTTCACAAATTTTATTTATCCTATCACATACATCTTCTGGCGGATTATATTTCTTCTGATATCTCAAAAATCTGTAACAATTGAATCAATTTGTTATATTGAAATATAAAAATATTAATGAATAGGTATTCAAGAAAGATAGACATTTAAATATTATATTATATTTACATTTTAGATTAAAAATCGTCATTCAAACTTTTATTAAACTTTTAAACTATTAAAGAATTATTAAAAATGTAAAAAGATTAATAAAAATATGAAGAAAGAATTAATAAAAATCAATCAGTTCCAATTTTTAATTATCTATCCTTATTTTAGAATAAATTATTTATAATTAAACCAATTTCAAAAATTATTGGATAGACTTTTGATAAACAAATGTGTAAACTAAAAAAAATATAGAAAAATCTTATACTATATATTCCAGATTTAAATCTGGAATTCCCAGACCTGATAACAGGTTTATTTTTCATTAAAATGCGCTCTTTTTTTTCGATATTATTGCTTTTTTTTATTTAATATAAATTTCGATTTCATTTATGCGATATCATTTATATAATTAAGTGATTATCGCATTTATGGAACTTTGGATACAGATACTTTGTTTTGTAAATTATAATGTAAAGGATTGAAGAAAAAATAAGGGAAATAAAAAATTGGATCCGTTTGATTTTTGAATCGGTAAGTCATAACTTTACATCCTTTACCAAGGATTATTTAAAAAAATTATTTACTTAAAAAAATATTTTTTTTAATAAAATATAATGTATTATATTTTTTTAATAAAATATAATGTATAAAATTAAAATATTTAAAAATAAAGAAATTTTCCAACAGTTTTTAGTAGATTTAATGTCTAAAAAAATAGACCGATATCTATTTTGAAAGTCATATAAAATTTATTTTATCACCCATTGTATTTATATATAGTTTGCGAAATTTAAGATTTGTTATTGTTGCCGATTTTATTGAGTTCAATTAATTACCTCAAGGATACTAAACAATGCTCTCACAATTTGTAAAAGTGCTCTAGTAAATCAAATCGTTACATAAGCTAATTTCGAAGTGCACTATTTCTCTCCCTAATAAATATGATGCAAAAGCAACAAAATGAAACAAATTGAAGCTATGAGCAATCTTCTCTCGATAAATGATTCTAATCAATGCATTATTTTTTTTTCGAAAAAATTTCAATATATTTTCTGATCCTTTTTTCTTCCTTTTTTGTTACATTAGAATTGTTCGAACAAGTAATTAATTTATTGTTCATTATATATTAATATAATTTATTAATAAGTAATAAATACGAATCATGAATTCCAAATTTAAAATCTAATATCAAAATCGGTTTAAAATCAAACATCAAAGTATAATTTTGTTGTTATTCATACAAACATATTATGTATCTTATCATAAAATAGATTTTATATAAAAAAAATTGATAGATATTTAATTAATGTTGAATTAATTTTTTATTGTATTTTTGATTGTAATATTTGTTAAAAAATAATTTGTTAAAAATTATATCTAAGAATGCGAATTTGAGAAATTTTTTGAAAATTAGTCTTGAAAATCATTTCTTGTTGGATTCTCGAGTGGACATTATATTGAAAGCGACAATTACTTTCAAATAATACTTTCAATATACTTGCAAAAAAATAACTTGTAAAAGCATTATTCTTAAATAAATTCACATCTTAATAATAGAAAGTATATTGTAGTGAGTAACACAATTTGTATTTCACATTTTTCTTCTCAAACATAAACCTGGTACCACACATATTTTTGCAGAGATTATCGTTGCCAATAGCCATTGATTTCGCATGTTAAAAATCAATATCGTCTCTTCTAGATTATCCCGACACGACTCGCGCCAAACTTTTCGTATTGTGCAAAAGAGTTTGGTTACCGGACGAAGCGCGGTAAGGGAGGCTTCCCTTAGAAGAAGTGGGCAATGGAGCGATGGAGGAGGAGAGGGGACAAGATCGATGACCAACTACCGTACAGTGGTGCCCTCAGTTGTATTTTCTCAGGATACAGTTATGGCCAATATTGGCCAGGAACGAAACAAAATATGGAAAAACCCTGTGATAAGGAAAATTTTTTGTATTCGACTAAAAATATAGTTTACATTAAGATTATCACAATTATTTAGTTAAATTTAAAAATTGATTAATTTTATAACTATTATTACAATTTGTTTATGCATATAATATATAAATGCATATAATAATATGTATTTTATACATATTATTTTTAATAACTATTAAAATTATTTGTTCACGGAAAATAAAAACCAATTTCAATCTTCTTTTGTTACTCATAAATCTTGATCTATGTAGCAGGAGACGGATAATAGTTCGTCAATGTTAATTACAAGGACAGAGAAACTTGGTCTTCGAAACAGGTGTTCTCAATAAAAACTGGCATACCCGGAGAACTAAAATATCCAGAACTATGTAAACTGTTTTTCATTTTTTTTTTCACTTTAAGTATGTTGTCACTTATTATAAATATAAATATTGATGTCATATTATACATATATATATTTTCTAAAAAACAATAATTTAAAAATCTTATATTACATACGTTTATAACAAATTTTTTCGTTTAATGAATTATAGCAAATAAAAAAATATAATTTAATGTTGATATATTTAAAAAAATGCAATTAGAAAATGTATACACCCCTAAATTATCACAATAAATTAGAATTCTCATGATTAACTGAAAACTTCTTATAGTTAGGCATAAAAGTATATCACTATAGTTGTTACGTCACATATAAAAGTGGAAACAAATTCAACTTGCTTATAGATATAGATATCTATGAATCAATTTAATATATTAAAACATTATTTAATTTAAATTTGTGTATTCCGAAAAGATTTATATTTTATTTAATGTACATACATAATATTTAATAAAATATAATCGATATGAAAATTTACGTATAAATTTACATCGAAATATTTGCATATAACATAAGAATACTATTTTAAATTGAATATTTCAATTGAATAATTCAATTATTAATCTTAGCCATGTTTTTAAATTTACATTACGATTTTGACATATTTATAATTATATATCTATCTTTTATTATAGCGATTTATGTATGTTCAAATTTTACATTCTATTATTTATAAAATATAATTTCTTTTGTTATATTTATAAAATTTTTAAGAATACAGTTTCTTCAGATCTAAATATTTTTTCGAGAAACAAATTAGAATAAAAAATTTTGACACATTTCATCAAAATTAATTTCATTTATCAAATGTAATTATCAAAATATTTATCAAAATATCATAAATCAAATAATAATAAAAATGAAATATATTTTGTTAAATTTCAATAATGTTTGCTTTAACTTTAATGTCATTTCATGTCACACGTGTATGAAAAGAAATTATACAAGAACTAGTGAAATGCAAGGGTGCTAAGCATACGCTCGTCTGCCCTGAGAAGCTGTCAAATCCAGCAGTTTATTGGTTGGTGTGTAAAAGAGAGGTGGTAAACGGCAATATGGCCACAGTGTGTCCTTTGCCTGTTAGCCAGCAGCGCGACGTAACGCGAATATTTCGATAAAATTTGTGTGTAAATTGACTAAATTCTTACCCTTTGCAAGAGAGAGACGTCTTTTCATCTTCAAATCTGCTAGTCTTCACTTCGGGACGTTTCTTGCTCTTAAAACGAGTTATATCATATCGTAGACTCGTCTGTAAAATGACGGTGGTTTCGTTAGTGCACGTAGTATATAAATTAAATTTGTTCACTCCCTGTTGGGAGTACTGTGTGATGATGGTGATTAAAAAGTGTACGTGAAGTGTCTACACTAACCGTGTTTACGGCAAGAAAAGTGGATGAACTTTTTAAGGAATTAAAACCATGCCTGATGAGCGCCGCCATCTTCTTCCTCGTCGTCGAAGCGAACTGCACGAGTGAGCAGTAGGGGGCGCCTCGGGCGGCTGCGCTTGTTGTTTCCCATCGTCCGCCATTTTACGGTCGCCATTGAGAAGTGAAAACCCTCCTAAATGTTCTCGAATAATAGCGGCCTCGCCGTGTGATTTTCGGGGCTGAGAGAGGCGCGCCGCCGCGAGAAGTGTTGCTAATGAGTGTACGGCGTACGATGGAGAAGCCATGACGCATCCGTCGCATCAAACAAACGGCGCTAGCCTGGAGGACTGCCACACGAATTTCTTCGCACTGGTGAGTGATCAGTGAGCCCACTCTTCGTAAGAGTCGGAGCACATATCTACTCTGTGTTTGGAGATTCGGAAGAACGAGACTTTGGCTTCACAGGACGGAAACCAGTTGTCCAACGGCTGTTTAACGGTACCGTGTAATGTTGCGAGCAGAAGTCGTCCGGGTTAACCTATATATTGGAGTATTCCCGTGGGCAGTACTCGATCGTTCGTGTCGACGTCGGTGTTGTGTATCGCGGCACTCCCCTCCCCTCCCTTCCATTACTGTGTATATAATATATATATATATATGTGTGTATACATACATATACGTACATAGTTGCATGTACATATGCCTATATATACATCTATATATGTACATATGTACATACATAAGTAGTTATATATATGCGCAAGCGTGTATGTGCGCGCGTCAGTGGGATTTGAAGTTTATGCGACCCAATGTCATGCCTGATTCATGTCGGCCCTGAGTTTTCCACTCGTGAAAGAATTAAGGAGGTTGTAGCAGGGCTGTCCGAAGACTGTTGCATGTATCCTTTGGTTATCGCAGTGAATATTGTTAATTTGTTGTGCTGTGTAGTTGGTGTTCTATTAGTGATCTTTCGATAAACTTGTGGTCGAAAACACGATCTTTTTACAACAGATAACAAGATCGTCTCTCATAACATTCCTTTCGCCTTTCAACAAAGCCACAAAACTGTGTCAGACATTGTTTGCACCACTTAAAAGTCCTCGTCTGCTCTGGTCCGGCGAGTCTAGGAACTTCTTTTCGTTGAACTCGACGAACCTCAAACGTGCTTATGTGATACATACCAACCTATTGATGTATATGGATTCTTCGTATACTTCTACTTGTCTACAGGACGTTTCGAAAATAGGTGCTCCAATACCAGGAGTGTATATTGCTCCTTTTCCTTTTGTGAATAGAATAATTTTTGTGAAAATAGTTTTTTCTTAAATTACAACTGATTTAGTTTGTTTTTTTAAAGTTCTTAAGAATACTTGACATATCTGTGAGATTGCGATTAAATTGTTTTTGATGGTGATACGTGATTATATGTGATTAAACATAATTCATATATGACAAAATTTGATTACATTTTATTATATTGCCGATGATGATATATTTTATTTTGAATTAAAAATGACAATAGAATCAAGTTTATATTTTTAATGAAATATATTTTCTTTCTTATGACTTATGATTCGAATCAATTTAATTTTTTTTTTTAATATAATATATAATCATTATTATTATATTAAGATAATAAATTATATGTATATTATTAAAAAATATTTTGCGTTTTAATAAATTTTTTTTTTCATTGGTTTTTAATATAGTTATTTTTCAAACATATGGTAAAAGAATTTTCTATAATTCGTTTTTAAATTATAAATAAATATTAATAATAAAAATATTTTGAGTGTATAGATTGTATTAAATGATATAATATATAAATATTTAAATATATCAATATGATAATAATTTATATAAATCAATAAAATTATTAAAAAATTCATAATATAAAAAAATATTTTTAATTTTCGTTTATGTTCAAGAAATTTCAAAATGCATAATATATTGAATGTATAATGATATAATATATTAATTTAAGAAATTACAAGTAAAAGAATAGCTAGTAATTTAACAAAACAAAACATCATTATAGTTAAAATATCTTATTTTATTTGTAAGATTGGCAGTATACGTGTCTAAAGTTTAACCACCTATTTTAGAAACGGCCTGTATGCAAGGCCTCTAGGCTGTCTCTTCCTCTTTCTCTTTCCATTTTGACCATGCAGTATGCGCGCGACTCGTGTATACACATACTTATCGCGCGTATAACGGCGAGACAGACACATTTTTCTGTTACATTCGTAGCGCACCGCATTCCCATGAACAGTCGATCAAAACATCTACCTTTAAATGAGATTATAGCGTTCGTTTCATTTATTCTCTTCTTTTTTCTTATTCCGTTAAATTTATGGTCATGTTTTCATAAATATAAATTGAAAAATCTTTTTGAAAATTATTTTAAGCAATTTTTCATCTAAAGTATCATCGAAATAACACATATGACAAAAATCGTGATAAAAGATATCCAAACAAAATCTAAAAAAATTGAAATTCAAAAAACATTAATTTCGGTCATAATTTCGATTATTTTTATATTTTTTTTTTTTTTTTTTTTTACATTTCATGATACGTTTTTATTGAGTTGTATTAAAATTTGAGGAAATTTAGTGTCGTGTCATTTCTATCTCTGTCGGTTGCAAAAACTATGCTTTCGTTTTGACTCCCCTCGTAGCTTTCCCCGATGAAATTCGTTTACTTCTAACGACAGTTCGTCGCCCTCCACTGTTCCGCATGAATTCGATTTAAGAAATTATTTCGAAATTTTTTTCAAACAACTTCGTAACGTGGCATGATTTCGAAGTACAGTATATTCACGCAGTATTTTTATCAATATTACGAAATATCATGATGTGATATCGTTGAGTTTTTAATTATTTTTACAAAGTTTAAAAAAATCTTTAGATATTAAATACATTATAAATTATTTTAAATATATTTTAATTAAAAAATTAATTTATTAATTTTTGTAAGTTAGAAGTATTAATGTATTTAAGATTTATCAAAAGTTACATAAATACTTCGAATAATGTAATATATATAATACTTTTGTTTGGAGAAATTTTGAGATGTTTCAAACAAAATAACTTTAAGATGACTTTTGTATATATACAATTTTATAATTTGTATTCATAGTAAAATTTGAACTGCAACGGTCAGATAGGAGCAATGCTCGGGACAGTGGTTCTCAATCAAAAATATATAGAAGCGTGTTCATCTATTATCTAAAGAGATTGTATAATATAATTAATCTGAAACATTGATAAGCATTGATTTTATCAATAAAAATATATATCAAAACATAGTTGTATATTAGATTATATTTATTTAATAATTTTATTTGCTTTATTCCATAAAAATTGTACTTAATAATTTTTAAATAAAATAAATACTTTTTTTTGTTACACAAATAAAATGTGTATATTACTTGAAGAGTCATTAATACAGATTATAGGATTATAATATTAATAAAATAGCAAGAGCGTGAATTTACTTCTTCGTTGACGTTAAACGGCTAAAATTTTAATATTTTAATTATTAATCACTATTCAAAAATTACAAAAAATTGATTTATTTGAATAAATTATAAATTTATTAAAAAATATTATTTATATATAATTATTTATTAGTAAATTATTTTTTTTTAATGGAAAATACAATAGAATATATATTTTTTATATAAATATTAGTAAAAAAAAAGAAAACTAAAATATATTTAAAATTCGTTAAGAAACATAATTTTAAGATATATTGGAAATAATAATAATATAACTAAAGATAAATTTTTAAAAACAAAAATAGATTCAAGTATGATCATAAATTTATTGTGTATATATAAATATTTAAAAAAAAAAAACTTTATAAATATTTAAAAAAATGTCACTGAAAGTAGACAAATACAAATTATTTTATATTTAACATATATTTAATTGTCAAAATTTTTCATTATCGTTATAAATCATATGATGAGAGAAAAAAATCAATTTCTCAGTTATGATTGACAATTAATTGAAAATATTAAAAAAGTACTTGTTAATTATTATTTTTTAATTTTAATCTAATTTAATCTTTATCTGCAATATCACTTTGAAACAAAGAATAAATAAAAATGATAATTTTCATATCAATAATTTATTACAAAAAATAAATCAAAATATCTCTTTGTTAACACAAATTTTTTGATAATCGTAAGATCTTCCATCTGCCATCAAAATAATTAGAATTTTTAATTCTGAATTAGTATTATGAATTGCCATAACAGTTTGAGTTAGATTTAGATTAGATTACTTAATAATATTATCACTTAAAATGTAGAATATAATTATAATGGAATATATTAAAATTAATATCTTCTTTGTAAAATTTTTTTAAATAATCCTAATTGGCAATTGTATCATATTCAATTTTATTATATATTTGTTACAAATATTTTTTTTTTTTTTTATTTAGCTTTTATATTTTTCACCTCTATCATAAAATTTTTGTTTTCATAATTTAGTTATTGAAAGGTTAAATAACTAAACTGTTGTGGATCATTAGTTTAGTCTAGTATCTAGTTTAGTATCTATAGCTCAATAAAACCAATTGAAAGTTAACATTAGAATTCCAGAAATGATTATTATGACTGCTCTTACTATTATTATTTTTTTTTATTTTTGAATATTCTGAATTAAATAAATAATTTAAAATTTACTGTTCACACACGCACGTACGCACGTATTAGTTTATTATATTAAAATATAGTACACAAGTTTTATATGTGATCGTTAAACTTTAATTGCATCAAATTTTATTCATTTAAAAATGAGGGCTCAAAAAATAAGAGAAAAAAAACGGTATTCCGAGGTCAGCACGAAACAAAAGTAGCGAGCTCAAAATCGGGCGATGTGTAAACTCTCTTGTAGTCTTAACACGTGACGTCCTCGCGGTGCAAGGCTTTCACCTAGGCTGGTCAAGCCCCCTTCGGCTTCTCCTGTTTCTCTCCACGGAGCACCAGTTTCAGCATAATCTAGCCGAGTGACTTCGTCGACGAAGAAGCCGCGTGCCTCGCGTATCTCGCTCGAGAAATCACCAGAACGGACTGATATATAATAGAGCAGTGTTTCCCAACATTTTTGGAATATACTCCTTTGTTATAATAGTTGTTATAATAATTGTCAAATAATCTGTCATTCCTATCTTTTCTCAAAATTATATAAAAGTAAATTATATAAATAAGATAAAATAAATATTGGAAATC